TGAGTTCAAAAGAAGAATGTGTAATAAAAGTGCTATGAGGATAATCTAGCTTGCTTAGCAAGTGGATAAATTCACAAAAATATCCATGATTAGAAGAAACTGTAATTTTAGGAAGTAATTTGAGTCGTGAAAAAGATAGATGACTAAATATTTTATGCCAAAGAGCTATATTTGAAGGACAAATTGTCTTACAAGTAGTTGTATTATGAAAGCCAAAGAAGAACTTAAAAATGTCTTACTAAACATAAGATTTGAATTATAATAATTACAAGAATGATTGGTCCGAAAGTTATTCGCGAAGTATTTGACGAGTCCGAAGAAGAGAAGATAAAATGAGAAGAAGTTAGAATAGATGAAAAAGCATTTAGTAGGACATGGTAGATACCATCTCTAACTTTACTAATTTTCTTTGTCCTCCTAGGCCAAAGGTCTCGAAAGAGGCAAAAATAAAGATAAAAACATGTCAAACAATTATTGTTAATAATGAATTTAGCTATTTACAACAAGTTGAATTTGAATGTTAACGGATAAAAAAATTATGAAGAATAAAGGTTGAAAAAAATAGAGGCTACATGAGTAAAAAAAGTTATATTTTCATTAGGTAACTTTGATTGTAAGAGTAGATGCTAATTTTATAGGATTAGACAAGTAATTTAGTCTACTAGTTATATGAATATTAGCTCATATATCCATAATTCATTCATCATCAATTTCAGATTCCATATTAAGAAGGCTATGAAAATATGTATCCGCCATATTTGTAATAGGTGCCACTTATTTTAGCATTCTTTTAGAAATCTCTTAACAATAGGTCAAATATCTATTGATATAGATATGGAGAGAATACCGAAGGGAATGCCACATTTGCAGAGTTGCTCATGGAATTCTTCTTTGTAAATTTCTTTAAGTGATGTTCTCGAAAAATTGGTGATATGCATATCATGCATCATAGCGAGTGCATTGATATTACGTCCAAGGTAGCTCATATTGTATGCATTATAAGATCTCTGCATATCTCTAACAATAGAATAACTACCTCTCCTTCCTATATTATTTCCAAATGGTCATCTAGTAGTATGTGAATATCCATAAAGCTTAAACATGTATCCTTCATATGACCGGGTATATGGTAGTAAGCATAAATAACTTCTCTTCTATAATGTGAAAAGCTGCTTTTATCAAGAAATTGCTTTATTTGATATTGAGTTCTAGTAGAATAAAACGTAGTAGGAGATTCTAAATCTGTATTGATTCCTCTCTGTGATTTCTTCATTGAAAACCGGGGAATATGCTTCGGAATGAGTGGGCATAAGTTGCACCAATAAAATGCGAGACCTCGTTGATTAAAAATTATGATTCAAATTCATCAAGAACTATATCACTTTATGTTGTTATGTATACTCAAACAAACTACTATGAAACTTCACTATGACAACATGGGCGGATACAAGTAGATGTAGAAATCAAAGAGTCAAATTCATCCCAAAGATACCTCGATTTTGAGTAATAAACGACCACACTATCTAATACTTGAACTAATGAATTAATTTCCTTATGCAAAGAAAAAATCTTTGCTCTATGTTGCTTCTCAAATCTTTCTTTGAGATCTTTTCATACATCTTTAACATATTGATAATAAACTAGACTATTGAACAACCGAGTAGAAACGAGTTTAATAACCAAGCATGAACTAGTACATTACATTTCTTCCATTGATAAAGCCATCATTACTCTTTGCTTCTAAAGAGATTACCATTGCTTTACTCCATAAGCTGTAATCTTCTTCATGCAGGAGTAAATGAGTAACTAGAATCAGATTTGATGTGTCAAAAAGATGTAAAAATAAAGGATCATTAACATCTCCATGTGAGGTGGTTGAATGTGAGAAATGAAGGATTTCGACTTGATTGTCCATGGTTGTGAGAGAAAGAAAAATAATTCTTAAGAAAATTTATAATGTGAATATGCAAATTGCACATATCAAATAATAATATAAATTATATCCTAGGACCTTACCTAAAGCTGCTAGGTAAGGCCACAGTGATATAATTTATATTATTCTTTAACATACCTCCTCAAGTGAAAGCCTTTTGAGCTTCAAACTTGTATAGGCTCATACTACCTTGTGCTTAATTAATTAGAAGAGAAAGTGAGGTGGAAGGATTCGAACTAGTGATCATTTGGTCATCGAGGCTTTGATACCATATTAAAAGATCATCTCACCTAAAAACTTAAGCTGATAGGTGAGGCCTCATGATATGATTGATATTATTCTCTAACACACCCCTCGAGTGAAAGCCTTTTAGGCTTGAAATTTGCACAAGCCCACACTACCTTATGCTCGATTAATTAGAGGATAAAGTAGGAGGTGGTAGGATTCGAACTCATGACCGTATGGTCGTGGAGGCTTTGATACCATATTAAAGGACCATCACACTTAAAAGTTTAAGTCGATAGGTGAAGATATGAAGCCCAGGGATATGATTGATATTATTCTCTAACATCACATATTGAAATAAGATTTCTTAAAAATGAGATCTAAAACAAAGTGAAGACAAGAATCTTGAGAAAGAAACTCGAAATTTAAGCAGAAAGAGAAATTTTCATCGCAACCTAAATAGAGAGAAAAAAAAACCAATTCGATGCCATGTTAAGAAGAAGAAAGAGATGAAGAAAAATGGTTGCTTGTGTATTCTCATTTTTCTAGTATTTTACAACTTTAGCTTATATACACTTAAGGTTTTATCCTCTATATCTTAGATTGTTACAATACTAATTAACTAACCAACTAATATTACGTTACAATATTAAACTAACTAACCACTAACCACAAAGTCATAAATACCCTCTCAATAAATTCCTCTCCCTTTCTCTATGGTCTAGTATTTTGCTCTTGGTGAATGGTTGTTATCGTATCATTAAAAAATAACCTTCAAGCTCTATTCATTATGGATAAAAATTATTATCCGAAAAATATTCGTTGCGATAACATGACTATAATATTTAAATATTAGAATAACATTCGGACACAAAAAACTAATAAGAATATTTTCGTTTAAATTTAAATTTTTTTCTCTTTAATTTTTTTCTCGTATTCTTTTTGTTTATTTTATAGAGAAAGTAATAATAGTTATTTTTGGAGTAATATAAAATTTCTCGTCGAAATATATATTTTAATTTTGTGCTAAGGCATAACCATTTACACTAAGTTGCAATTCCTATAGTCTTAGCTTGTTGATGAATGTAATTCAATTAGTTTGGTGAAGATTGAGCTCGTGATATCTTATACTTAGAGGCCTGCGTGATCAAGGATGCTTATACTTGCAGTTAACGATTTCCCACGTTTTCAAGCTATCAACCGAATCATTTGATGTGGTCACATTAGCAGATTTATTTTTAAAAAATTTGAAAAAGACATAAAGTTATAAATTTAGACTCGGTCTGAGTAATCTCCTTTATACATTGAGAATGCCATTTCATTACAAAATCAGCTTTCAAATACATAAAAAAATTATTTGATATGGCTTAATTGGATCTTCACACTTGAGTTAATTATATTAGTTTGGATTAATTGTAAGAAATATCTTTTTATTATTCACATATATATTTTTTATTCATCATGTTTCGTTATTCTTAAATATTTTTTTAACGTTGATCATCCAAACAAATTTCGATTAATTTTTTAATCAAAATTTACATGTGATAAAAAAATTATCACAAGGTATGGCATATCGGACATATTTTTCATGTTATAGAAACAAAAAATAAAAAACCCAAAAAAATTGACAAATTTTACTGAAATGAAAAAAAAATCCTAAGTATAAAAATACTAACTTTTTCTATCGTTTCTGGTTTTGATAACAAATTGTCAGTTGTTTTTTGGGTTTTTTTGTTTTCGCTACTTAGTAAATTTGTCACGTAGTAATTATTTTTCTATCAAATATCAGTTTGATCGAAAAATTGGTCAATAATTTGTCGGAGGTACCATATTAAAGAAAATTCAAAAAAAAAAAACGTGATGAATAAAAAAAAAAAACATTTCTTGCTATCAATCCTCCTATGCTTAGCTTTGTTGACAAAGAGGTGTCTAGCTAGTAGCCATCTATTCCTGGCTATGAAATCTTGTAAAATAAAGCAAACTTTTAAAGCATCCCATCCTTTGAGAATTGCACCAGAACTTGAATGCCAGGTGTTCATTTATTTTACTACCGTAATCGGGGAAGTGATGGCATTTGGAATTTCAAAAATATATAGTTCAATTCATATATAATTTTTTTCTATTCAAAATAATAATAGGATTTCATCCTTTTTTCTACCAAATAATTCAGCATGGTCAATCGGTAACAGTACCTCACTTTGCCAACTTCTAGATATTATCTCATGTCCATGCGTTTAGAGATTCATAGAATTTTATTTATATCAATCCTTCTTTTTCTTTTTTCTTTTTTTTTTCATGTTCTGAAGAAAATGGAAAGAACATCACCCAACTGGGTCTTGTGCCTCATAGAATCTTCAGTTTTCCATAATCATTTGCAACTTGAAAGGAATTTTATCATTGGATTTTTTATTTTATTTTATTTCCATGCATCAATATATATTAACGCGTGAGCTTTGCAAAACTTGATAATATATCTTTTTGTCTTAAAATAGAGGATATGTAAACATGTATTTGGCGGTGCATATATATATATATATATATATATACGGGGTGAAAATTTTGGATTATTTGGCGGTGTATATATATATACACCGCCAAATATATACCGACGAAGGTTTATCTTTTTCATATTTGTTATGAAAAAGCATAATACTATACATTTTGATAACGGTAGTGAGTCACCAACGATCTCATCAGAGACCAAAATTTTCAAAAGTTTGAGATAACCTTTTTTTGAAAAAGGGTTCTGATAATTTAATCAAAGTGCATCATGATTTTTTTTTCTTTTAAAGAAAGAAAGTTGAGGAAAATTGTCACGTAAAGTGGAGAATTATTTTCAAACTTTGCTTTTACATGCCGCATCTCAGGAAGCAGCCCCAGCATCTTTCTCTGTCATTCCGGCCCGTTTATTTTTCCTTAAAGCTGAAAATTTAGCTCTCTGACCATATATGGCTTGCTTTTTGAATGATATTTTTCTTGCTAATGGTTTTGGTTGAATGGTTAGATTCAAAAGAGAATAAAGTGTTACCTGGGATATATATTTTTCCATGATTCTTATCGTTTTACTCTTAGTTTCCATCGATGACAGTTATGTGCCAAAATTTAAGCATATGCTCTCCCTCGATCCTTCTCTCTCTGCACAGAGAAAGAGTAAAACAGAAGGGGCCGGGGGTGATATTCCTTTCTTGTGCTCCTATTGTTGACTGAAATGTCAATAAAATAATAATAAACATTAAAAAAAAAACCTACTAAAGAAGAAGAAGAAGAGAAGAGAAGAAGACTATTCTTTTTGTTATTGTCAAATATAGTGCTCGTAGTTGTTTACTCCCTGCATGGTAATTGATAAAAACAATAGATACGATGGCTAAAAATCATTCCTGTCAGCCATGTCCATAAGCTATAATGATATATAAATCTTAGGATAATCATTGAAATAGGATATGCATTAATTAGTATATATATTTGCCAATAATAATCAATTAATATATGTAGGGAGCTAGGTAGTGTAGGCCATAGAAAAACGATTTCGATGACCAACATACCCCATTAAGAACAAGCTTCCAAGGAACATTAGAGAATGCCACGTTGGCTGGAAGTCGTTTTAGAGCACTTAGCTGGCGGGGTTTGATAGGGTAATTAGCATAACTTATAGGGACCACTTTGTAATTTACAAGCCATGGGAGTGTGTGTGATTGCTGGGATTGTTGTTGTGTGTGACACCAAATGTGTCGCATATAGAAAGAGCCCATGACTTATGGAAGTGAATCAAGTACAAGGACACCATGGAAAGGAGGCTTCGATGATCAGAGAGTGGATGAAATTGATGAAGTGAAATTATTGGTCTCTAAGGAGGAATATTAAGCCGTCACTCTTTGTACAAAACATCATCCACACACCTAACAAAATAAAAATTCCCACCTCGGCAAAAACCCTAAAGCCCACAACTCACCAATCATTTGTATCTTTGCCTTGCTTCGGATTGTCATCATTTATAATCTTAGAATGATCACGTCACGATGCCTATGACGTGTAGCTTAAAATTGCGGTCTCACCGCATTCAACTCCCATTGATTTAGGCTTTTGTATAATTAATTCAAATTAACAAAATGATTAATACTAAATAAGCTTCCATGGTAATTGTAATTAACAGGACCCTTGTCTTTGTACTTGCTTGGCGGCTTATAGAAATTCATATATCACCACTTTGGCTCTCTTTTTTCCCCATTATTTTCTGATTTTCGATCTCAACATCATCAGTTTTTGCATCAAATTGTTGTTGGTTGAAGATTAATATTCAGTCAGCTCAAATCAGTTTAATTAGCTCTTAATAATCTCATGATAGTTTGCTGATTTTGACTTAAACCCTTCACCTAATTCCCTTAATTGCATGTTAGTTTTAAGATCAATTATAACCATAATTAGGCATTAATTAAACCAGAGATTTTCCCGACAGGACCACAACTACGTAGCCTAATTAATAACTGTCCTTTCCATCGCTTTAATTGAGCTTCTATGTCCCCATAAGGTAATAATAGTAATCATGTAATGGCGAAAATGACCCATCATCTAAAGAGGGCATGGCATGATTTTTGTTACAAGTGTTCCTGCTTGAAATTGAAAGGGCATTCTTGACTTTGTGTTGACATGCATGGACAGAACATTTGGGGTAATAGATCGATCCTTAAGGTTTTTCTGGTATATCGCATTCATACGCATAGTGATGAAAAAATTAAAATGAGGTCTGATCTCTCCATTATTAATTGCAATGGCATGCTAAGCAATTGTGACCCCAGTCCAGTCATGATCTACTACATTACATCCCTCTAATTATTATCGTTTGATGATACACTCTGTGACAAAATAATATCCTTTTGTCCTCATTTCCATTATTATTGCCTTTCTAGCATTGCCTCTCTAGAAAACAAAACTCATACCAAATTAATTAGATAAAGTTCTGCATATGCATATGCATATGCATATGCATATGTATTGATCATGGGCCTAATATCCTTCATCATTAGTGGGCCCCACCTCTCAAAGACAATCTTTATGGCCTACCTTTCTCGCATCAATCCAAAAATATTCTTCTGTGATCGAAAATTGAACAGATCGGAGTCTGATCATCTCGCATTTACGTATACATAAATGAATGAGTTCATGATTAATGATATTATTATTATTATTATTATTATTATTAGTATTCAAATTTAATTTTCCAGCTATTTATTTTGATTTATTCCTTAAGCTGTCACTGTTTCTAGGTCTTAGATCAATCAAATGGTTCACGTGCTTGGGACATTTTGTTTTTGGGCATTTTATCGAACATATGGTCCCAATGATGGAATGATCCTACCAATTAATTATTTAATGACATTAAACATTCAGCTTCGTTCAATTGATCATGACCTTCGATTTAACTAATTAACAACTTAATTTCAATCAACTATAATTAATACATACAGCATGATCAAACACGGGTATAGATCTACTCTATACATAATTGTAGTTCAATAAAAAAATGGAATGCTAGTACTATCCATTTCATCTTCTTCTTCTTCTTCTTCTTTTTTATAAAAAAATCTATTTGATGCAATTATTATCATTAAACAATTTTTAAAGCTTAATCAGGCTTATAAGAATTTTGGCATTCAACATTTCAAGCAACGTAAGGACGCTGGCTGACAGGATCCAACAAATATATATACACAAACATTCATTCAAATACATATATGTGCATAAATACATAATTAAGATCATTTATGCAAACCATAAATTTCTTCATAAAGGGTGAATGAGCAAAAGAAAAGGAACTAATCCAGAAAAGAATATATATACACATTGGATGGATTTATATATCATATAATTTTTAATTTTCCATAATATATTGGCGACGTTCAACATGTTTTGCACGCACGTGAAACTTCATATGTAAAAATTACCCTTAATTTGTTTTACCTTTTGCATATATAAATAGTGTTATAAAGAATATATTCATAGTGTTGTTGAATTAATGTAAATGGAGGAACTTTTATGTTACAAATAAAAAAGGGGTGTTTTGGAATGTTTCTCAAATAATTTATGATTTTTGTCAATACATGTTGCCCCAATTGATCTAATTTCACAACTATAGCCTAAAAAGATTTCTTGTAACTTTGGTTTTTCTTGAAACTTCCTACTATAACTAACTAGTTATACACAAACATGGCCTGCTCTTATAATATTATAAGAAATTCTAACTGGCTAAGGCATTTGTCATGCTAGCTGACTATATATATATAAACACACAACACCAAGCTTTCTCCCACATATCTTATAGATTCCAAAACAAAGAAATCAAAGCTTCTCCTTTCAAATACATTTCAACAGTATTCCCTATAATCCTGTCTCAAATTTGCTGCCTGTTTTAAACTTAGTACTTTAGATTTTTCTTTCAAGAGACAATCAACATGGGTCTAAGAGACATTGGAGCAACGCTGCCTCCTGGTTTTAGGTTTTATCCTAGTGATGAAGAGCTTGTCTGCCATTACCTCTACAAGAAGATCACAAATGAAGAAGTCTTGAAGGGTACTTTGGTGGAAATTGACTTGCATACTTGTGAGCCATGGCAACTTCCTGGTATGTATATATATACAAGTCTCCTTTGAATTCTAGTTTTACTGCTTCTAATCTCGTCGTTGTCTTTCATTCCCAATTTGAAAGAAGATATATGCTTTCTTTAATTTTGTCATGCTCATCCATAATATTATCTATTCTTGCATTGTTTAATCAATTAATGATAATATTCAAGAAACCGGAAGTTCTGTGCTTGCTTTGATTTCTTTGTTCTTAGCACAGCGAAGAAATACAGAAATGAAAAAAAAATTGAGTTTCGGTATTACAAGGCAGAGAAACAGACAGACATGTTTGGTTCTGTTCAAAAACACATGCGTAGTGAGAGAGAGAGAGAGAGAGAGAGAAGGCTCTTAGCCAAACACTTTGAAGGATAATCAATGCCAAATTAACTTCATAATTAATATAAACTCACCATTGAGTGCGTGGTTGAATAGTTGCCCAAATAAAATTCTATGATAATATATATGTGCGGTTTTTAACCATTTTTATTGTCTTTTGGCAAGTTGTAAGCAACGACAAGCTAGGAAAAGGTTCATAGAAACATAATGGCTAAATGAATCCTAGCAAGTTGATTTCAAGTTAAATTCTTCCAGTCTTATCAATGTCTTTTTATGAGCAGGCAAAGTATTTATGCATAATAAACATTAAGTAACTTTATCACAAATTGGAATGCTTTGTCACGTTTTTGTCTTCTATTCTCTAGTTGTTACCACTACTCATCAACTTACACACATGTGTGCCAGTGTAACCTTTCTTAATTTGGAAGCTAATTCAAGAAAGACTGACTTGATCATATGCTACTATAAAAACTTAGGTCTCTCTCTCTCTCTCTCTCTCTAATACATATCACCTATTTTAGGGGATGTTTATCCTCAATGTTTTCTTTTATGGCTACTTAATTATCTCATGCCAAAAACCTCGAAATCTTCATTGTAATTAAGGGAGTGCTTTTGTCTCCACAGGAAAAATGATATATCTCCTTAGGAAAAGAAGATTTTTGACTTCCTAAAAAATTTACTTATAATTCGCTACAAGTACTGTAGGCAAGTACGTATAACATGGGCGTGCTCATGCAATTAGTTAGCAAGTCTTGCTCATTTGTTTTTTATACTGTCCATGGTAGCAATTTGTTTGGTCTTGTGAAACTTCCATGTCCTAAATCATGTCCCCTGGTACCTGTTAAGAATTAAGCTGGTGTGTGTGTGTGTATATAAGCATATCATGAAATATATATATATATATATTTCATGATATGCTTGTCTCAAAGTGCAGAAGGGATAAATTTATCTTCTTCTTTTAAATATTTCTATCGTCTCCATAATTCTTCTGTTTTTCTTTTTTCTTTTTTGGGAGAGGATACTTCCTCTCAACTTGTATTTTAACACATTAAATTTCAAATAAATGAGGATAACTCTAAATCACATGTATAATACACATTAGAAGATCGTTTTTACAAATATATATACGTGTTTGTGTGTGAAGCTTGTTAATTTTGTTTGGTTACATCCCTAATTTCCTATATATATCCTTTTCATTTTCTCTTAGTTTACCTTGTGATGACACGACGATAATGTTTTGAATGTATCCATATTTAACTTGAAAAATATCAGATAAAAAAGAGAAGGCTTGTCTAAGGATTTTGTATTTAAGGATAAGATTTTCTGAAAGCGAGCATCCATGTTATCTTGTAAAAACTTCAATGATTTTGGATTTGACTACCTTAAGGTGCAAGGGATCAGTTATTGTTTATCATTGAGGTTTCAGGAGTCAAACAATAAGCCAATGCTTGCTTGCCAACTATCTAATTATGTCGCACTTAGTAATTTCAATTTTTTTCAAAAGCAACCACGTAAATAGAATCAATAGTAAAGAGTTGTGCCCTTCCCCTTCAATTTTCAAGGCATGACGACTTTTTTTTTTTTTTTTTTGAACACTATCGTCCAAGAAAACATTGCGAGGTTTCATTTTCACAAATCTAATCCTGCATTTTCTTAGAAATTAATTCTTCCAAATTGAATTTGATAATAAATACTCAGTAATTAGGCTTCTTCCTTTGTTTTTCCCCCAACCTTGCATGCCCTCCTAACTTTTGCTTTGTTAATTCACTATTCTATCTTGAAAGAACTCTCAGACAAAATAAACTCGCCAACTTTTAGCTGTCGCTATTTGTTTTCATACTAGTAAGAAGAAAAGTCAGGACCACATATGTGTTAAATACTTCAGAATAAAACAAATGGTTTCCTTTTTACACAACAAAGATTAATATGCAGTTGAGATTGGGAGGTTCAGGCGCGTCATATCTTTAGACAATAATTAAGGCAATCGAATCAAGCAATCTTCATGGAGACTGAAGCTCATCACATAAAGAAAAGTTTATTCTTGTTCACCAAGATGTTATTTTACGTCTAGTTTATTCGTAGTCTTTGTTCTTCTGGACTTTTAGCCTTTTTATTTACCAAAAAATTAAAAAAAAACTATAGGGTGAATAATGCAGCGTTTAACTATATATATATATATTTCTGTTTCTTGCGACAAGTAGATAGTACTGTACTCACATGATTTCATGTACAGTGTGATTGAGTGAATAAAACCCAACCATATATGTATAAGACGTTAAGACACAATTCCATGTTCATGAAAGCATTGTTTTATTTTATCTATAGTTGCAGCTTGATATTTGAACTTACCCTAAGTATTGTTTGTGGAATTTAGAGGTGGCTAAGCTCAATGCAACTGAGTGGTATTTCTTCAGTTTCCGGGATCGAAAATATGCCACCGGATACCGAACCAATCGTGCTACAACGTCTGGATACTGGAAAGCTACAGGGAAGGATCGAACTGTCTTGGACCCTACAACTCGGGAGGTTGTAGGGATGAGAAAGACCTTGGTGTTCTACAGGAACAGAGCTCCCAATGGAATCAAAACTGGTTGGATCATGCATGAGTTTCGTCTTGAGACCCCACATATGCCCCCCAAGGTGCCGTGTGTCTTGTGCTTCAAGTTCTGACACCTTGCTAACACTTATGAGCTTGACAAAATACTTAACATAGGTTTAAAAAAAAAAATGATTTCTCAAAATAAAATAAATAAGTTTTTCTCAATGTTAACTCAGTGAACTAAAACTAGGCCTGCAAGTTGTCTAGTGATTACTTTATACTAGACTGCCAGGTTGAGAGAATCATATATAGGAAAAGAAAAAAGAATTACCTAAAGGAACCTAGCTAGCTAGAAGGAAAGTCATGTCTACTAGCTAAGAAGTTAGGCGTTTTCTTGTCATCTACTTATTCTGTTCCTAAAATTAACATATGGTGTTATGAATTCCCAACTGCTTAATCGCTAATTAAAGTAAAACTTTTTGGTGATCGCAGGAGGACTGGGTCTTGTGCAGAGTATTCCACAAAAGCAAAGCAGAAGATCACAACACAAAATTCAACCCAGAATTCATGTTTGAGACCAAAAGTAATAACGGCACTATGAATTTAGCAGCATCGCCGTTAACTGATCAGCAAACTCAGCCTTGCGGGTACCAACAAATGACATCACTATCATCAACCCCAACCCATCAAAACCAAGACCAACAAAGCTCTTTGCTAAACCTTCTCCAGCTATCTCAGGACAGGAACGCCAACCCCAATATCACCAGTACTGACATCAGCTCCAAAGCTGTTGATGATTATGCCTTCTTATGGGATGACATGAACTTGGAAGAAACTAGCTTGGGAGATGGGGTTGTGGCTTCAAATTTGGAAGATATGAGATTTGAGATCGACCATAACAGTATGGTTTTCCTATGAAAATATTACTGTCATATTTATATACATATCTAGTACTTAAGCAAGGATGTCAACCATTTGTTGATTTGTGATGTACGTATCTGTGGTGTTTGGATTATTTGAGGGGCAAACTCGATGTTTGATTGGATCAAAAGTTAGCTAGGAAGATTGTGAAAATTATAAAGTTAGGGTTTCATTTATTTTTTGCATACAGTGTATTCTTGGCACCTTGTACAAATTTTAGCATATGTTAATGGTAGTTATTGGTTGACAACGGTAGTCTGCTGTTTTTAGTGAATATTTATGACAACAGAGCACGAAACGTTTCAAATAAGAAATTGCTACGTTCTGTCTTGTTTAACATTTGAACTTATAAGAGGTTTGACCCATTTAGCCTAAGTTAATTACAACAGTTTGTAGAAATGCATCAATTAATCAATATGTCAAGAAATATAAGTAAATAATAATCCCTATAAAATAGTTTAATTATATTCATTGATAGTTAGATCCTTCTGTTACTTGGCTCCAAATGAGCAACTGTCATCATTATAATAGTGTTTATGTAAAAAATATCCCTTTTTATCAATCAATTTTTCTAATCTGTTATGACAAAAACCAATATATAGAATAATTTTTTAAATATTTGATATGAAGATTTGGCTAAGAGACCCTTAATTTTGTGTCTAAATATACAATAAAACAAATACATGGGAAAAAAAATCTTTTGGAATCCTCCTCGATATATTATTAGACATTTAGCACCAAGACAAAAAATATATATATATAATAATATATAATTTATTTTCCTATTTTTTATATTTTTAATTTTAGAAAATAAAAAAATATGCTTCCTCATTTAAAAAAAAATTGAAATTTTTTCACAAAATATATAAATTGAATTTTTCTCAATGTGTGTGAAAAACTTCATTTTAAAACATCAAAAATTGATTTTTTTTTTTAAAAAAAAAAAGAGAAATGATAGTTGAAAAACCATAAAATGAACTAAATCTAAAAATAAATGAAAGTTTAAGGAATGTCAAATTCAAAATTAAAAATTTAATAACTGATTTTTAAATAAACTAAACTTGAGAGGAGAATTGGCCCATGTAGCCTAAATTATTTACTATGGTTAGAGAAATGAATCAATTAATCATTATGGAGTGAAAAATAATTAAATAATAATCCCCGTCATTTTATATCCATTAATAATTAATTTGATCATTCCATTAATTGACTCTAAATAAGCAACTGTAGTAATTATAATAATTTTTATCTAAAAATGTCCCTTTTTATCCAATCAATTTTAGGACTAATCTTATTATATCAAAAACAAATATATAGAATAATTTTTGAAATATTTTATATAAATATTTGACTAAGAGACCCATAATTTTGTGTCCAGATATACAATAAAACAAACATGTAGGAAAAAATCTTTTGGGATCCTCAACATTATTTTCCTAACTTCCTCAGTATATTAATAAGCATTGAGCAGAGTAAATTATAAATTAGTCCCTCTAGTTTTAAGAAGCAAATTGATTATGTTTAATTTAATATTATTTTTATTCTACAGTTTTTTTCATTAATATTTTCTCTTTTTCTTTTTCTACTTCTTAAAATAAAAAATCAAAATAAATTCAAAAGATTAAATTACAGGTATATTTAAAAATATAAAGATTGAATGATTAGTTTTTTAAACAAATAAGACTTATTAATTCATTTTTAAAATTGAGACTAATTTATAATTTACTCGCATTTAGCACTAAGACCCAAAAAAAAAAAAAAAACATTTATCAGTGATTATATATACTTTCAGACCGACCAAAAAAACTCATCTCAATGGAGAAAAAATAAATAAATAAAAACCAACCAAAGTAACCACTGGTTATAGATGAATATCCAAAAGGGTTCTTTCTGATGTAAACCTTTAATTAGTTTCATCAATGCAATCAGTTGATTTTGTGACATTTAAAAATTAACACTTCTACGAATATAACCATTGTATTTATAAAAATTATGTGCATAGAATCGAGTTCATTAATTTACATTTTCTCAATTTCAACATTAAATTTGAAAACTTGATGTAAATAGAATAGGATTAATTAACTTTGACAAAACATGTGAGGATGGATCATTTACGTTTACGGAAAATATAATTTAACTCACCAGAATAATTTAAATGATAATTTACAACTAAATTCACTTTAATTCTATTTACTACTCCTTGCAGTAAACTAATTAGTTAATTAAATGATCCTTTACAACTAAATTCACTTCAATTCTTGTGGATTACAGCTCTCACGTGATGATACTTGCTCTCACGATGACCTCCAACCTCCCATTTCGCCTTTCCCTCAAGATTCCGCCCCCAAATATGAATTTTCCAACAAGCTTCGCTCACAGAGTAGCTTAAATAGGTCCGATCATTCTTGACAAAACCCAACGACCCCTTTCTCTCTCTTTTTTCCATCTTTATCCTCTCTCTCTCTCTCTCCATCCTTCTTTTCCTTGTAAAAATATCCACCGACATTAATCTTCCGTTCATTTACAATTTTATATTGCACGCGCCTCATGTTGTCACAAGTGTTCACTGACCACTGTCGTCAACCAATCTTTGCCCATTCTCTAACTGCTAGAAGCTGACAGGACAGATTGTTTTTTTTTTTTTTAATCTCCCAGAGGCCAGATCCGGTATCTTCCGTTTAAATTTCTCATCAATCAAAAATAAATTTATTATTTTTTAACTAAAACAGTACCATGATACATTTAGATTTTAATTAATTACTAAATTTTCTATAAATTTAATATTATTAAAAAATAATTATAATTAATTATATATAGATAAAAAGAATTAAATTTTGATTTTCATCAAACCAAAATAATTTTTTTTGTTAAAACATATCCTTTTGTGCTGGTTTACAAACCTAAAACTCTCTATGTGCTGGGTAAATCCTTTTTTTTTTTTTTTTTTTTTAATCACAGAGAGAATTGCAGCTTCCATCAGAAATGCTAAGCAAATATTAGGATGGGTGCTTGGCGCACTTAAAATTAAGATCTAATATTTTGCCCTATGTGTGCCCAAAAATTTAAGCACGTTGGTAGTACTTTAATATGAAATTAAGGAATCACTCAATCTCAGAGTTTGAGGGTTTTATTTATTTATTATTATTATCATAGATATAAGGCGCCGACATATGATTTTGTATATCTATTTTTGGTTATGAAAATCCATCGGATCAAATGATAATTTTTTGGTTCCATATAGAATAAGTAGGAAATTTTACATATATTCGATTCATTCTATCAAATATTATAAAAATACAAGTGGTTAAAAATGAGAAAATAATACTTATATGCAACTTTATGCTTTTCATTGAGTCCACAATGTTCGTAGAAATATATAATAAAAATGTTTAACTATGTTTAGGACCAGAATGTTTTGGACATTGACATCTAGGGACTGAAATGAAAAAAAAAACTTTTTTATTACCCAAAGTAAAAATGTATCTCTCGAATATACGATTTTATGCTCTTCATAGAAATATTATTAAAATATAAACGGTTAAAAATGAGAAAAAAAATACGTATTTACAATTTTATGCTTTTCATTGAGTCCACAATGTTTTTAGAAATATATAGTAAAAAAGTTCAACTATGTTTAGTATCAAAATGTTTCCAACATGGACATCTAGGGACTGAATTGAAAAAAAACTCAAATTAAATGTGTATTTCTCGAATATACGAGGACCAAAAATTGCAAATTGATGAATAATTTGCAAAGCCTTTTTGCATGTAAGGACCAAATGAAATTTTCTGAAAACTTGTTAAGGACTAAAACGAGCATTGGTGAACTACCATATATTAGTGGGTAATTAGGTATGGACAAAGTATTACATGGGCTGATATATGGGTTTGAGGATTGATTCCTTCATGGATAAGATTGGTTTAATGGGCTAGATACTCAACAAGTTGCCATTTAGCAAGAAGATGTGATATTTTTATGACTCGATGTTCTAACTCTCTCTTAATTTTAAATTTGAGTTTTTTGAATTTTTTATTAGTTTTAAGGATTTTTAATTTTTTTTTCAGATTTAACCCATGCTTGATTTATATGTAATTTATTTAAAAAAATAACAATCACGTAAATAGTCTTATAATGAAAATCATTCAATAAGATTTATACAGTATTTCAGAAAAAAATTTGAAATTATTTTGAAGTTATTTTTATTTTTTTATTTTTAAAGTTAAATAAATAAATAAATATAATTTTTTTAATTTTAAAAAATACTGAATTTTTTCTATAAAATGAATTTTTTTTTCAACATGCTAGTGGAATTTCAACTCAAAATATTAATAATTGAATTTTTTTAAAAAAAGATAATAAATAAAAATTAGTAGATGGATTAAATCTCAAATTAAGGATTTTCAAAACCAATAAAAAAAAATGAAGCACTCAACTTCAAAAAAATTAAAATTTAGAGTGGTTAGACTTTTTTTGCCAACTTTTATTACATAAAAACGATATGATTAAGTGGATAATCAGTTGTTGATTGTGGGTTAGCTACTAATAAAAAATTGGACACGACAAAGTGGATACTGGAGGACTTTGAGATTTTCCCGAAAAGCGGAAAAAGTGTCCGAAAAAGAAACCGAGACAAAACTACTGCATCCGCTTTATCACATGCTGCAAAGGACGGTTCGCGGACCCAAATCAAAAAAATATTTTCATCTAGTTTTAATTTTTTTCTTTTTATTTATCTGTATACTACAGGGCAAGTAAGATAAAAAGCATTAAATTTACCTTTATGGTCAGACACCTATTGCCCTATACGAAAATAGTACACGCTAACTCCAAGGCCATGATGGTAATAAGATGCCAAAATCGGCAATCTAAACTAAAATCCGGAAATGGAGAGACAATTTGAAGAAATTAAACTCATCAAAAATTAAAAATAAAAATAAAATCAAGTTTCTTCTCTGATGGCTTCACCGTTGTTTTCAAGCCTTTCATAAGCCCTTGTTTCAGTTCTTTAGTTTCCATCCTTGGTTCAGTCAAATTTTCCCGGTATGCATTTTTCTCTACCTGGATCTTTATTTATTTATTTATTTATTTTTACGGTGGGTTTGCTCGTATGAATGGCTTGATGTTAAGTAAGTAAAGAAATTTCTGTGGTTTCTTTTATGAACAACAAATTGGAATGAACCCATTTGTTTTTTCTGTCAAACATTACATGGGCTGGAAAGATTTGTCGCAGTGTATGCATTGAACCTGTAAAGTTTGTCATGCGTGGATTGGCAAAATGTATGGACTTCTTGCAAGAAATTTCAAAAGAAGTTGAGAAATTTTGCATGGGTGTGTTCAAACTTCCGTGTGATGTGAGAGGTGAGCGGGTTCTTGCTTTTCAGCAGATACATATACTGGCCCGGAGGTCTTGGACCGTGATGAGAAACTCTCAAAATTGATGTAATTAATTATTCGAAATTGCTCCTCGGAATATGCAAGTGAGCTTGTCTTGACATTATTGTTGTCTCGTTTGGTTTTTTAAGTTTTGCAACTTGATTTCAAGAAAGACATCAGGAAGAAAACCGTTTTAAATCAGTCTCACTGTCTTGTTGAAAAACTGTAGGAAAACAAAATAGAGGAGAAGAAGGATTTGGAATATGATTTTAGATCTTTCTAAATGATTATTTTGTCAGGTTTGGAATAGAATATGCTCAATAATCCCAGAATTCAGTGGTGGTTGCATTCTTAGTAATTTGTAGTAATAGATGAATTAATTAGGTTTACTTTCACATATTTGCTTCTCTTCTTTCGCTGTTGCAGGTAAAAGCTTCTAGGTTTTTGTGGGACACAGAGTTGCGGATTGGGGGTGAAGTCTGTCAAGCAACTGAGGCAATCAAGCTAAAGACTAGTAATTAACATGAAGTTTTAGTCTAACAAATTTATCTCCATTTTTCCCCATCAACTCTGGGGCTTAAGATTACCAATGGGGACAGAGCGCACAAGAACTGATTTCAGAAATGAAAACGAGGACAAACATTCAGTCCCGCCAGGTTTTCCATCTCTGACATCCTTTAGGTTGAAGAAGGTAGAAAATAGTGAACAAAACTGTAATTCTGCGCCATCTATGAGTGCATCCAAAGGAAAGACAATCCGGATGGATGCCACCACTGACACGATTGATGTTGCAACATTAAAGAGATCTTGTCAACATCGACCAAGCATGCTCCATGACCAGAAAAATCACAACAAAGTGGAATCAGACTATGAACAAGTTGACATGGTCGGATCCTCTCTCTCTCTCTCTGGGGATTAGGGGCTTTAACTCTGTTAATTTTTTACAATCTGGGACATAAATATCTACTGCTTGATATTAATCTAGATTGGGTAATTTGTCATTTGTGAGATGTTTCTTTATATAATCTTTTTTGATATTCCAAAATATGTTTGAAGGGACATCATTTCATAGTATGTAATTTGGGCTTTTGGAAATTGGTATGCTAAAATATGTATAATAAGAAAGCATTTAATCAGAAATGTTTTTCATTTTGTATATGGTTAGTCAGAGAAGCCATCGGGAATAAGCTGACAGGATATCCTTGTGTTGTTTTGCTCATGAGTAACAAAGGTGATAACTGAATCAATACTTGGTGAAGAAAGACAATGATGGGAATGAAAGTTTGACTATTTAGTTTCAAATATCAATTCCTATTGTTTTCTTCCTTCATTGCCCATTATGTAGGCTTAACTATTTTGGAGCATCCAATTGTGATAATTCTATAGATAAGGTTTTGATTGATTTATTCTGATGTGGAATTACGAGACATAGAAGTCATAGAAATGGCTTTTGCTGTGGCAGGGGAACGCTGTTCTATATAATTCTCCCCTGTCCTCTCCAGTAAATCGGCACGCTACATAACTTTGGCTCAGTTGCGTGTCTGCATTTATTCTCCTCATGAATAGTTTAATAAATTGCTCTGAAAAAACATATACAGAGAATTAGTTTGAGGGTTATTTGAAAAAGAAGATACTAGTTATTCAATCATTTCCCATAATTGAAATAGATAAATTTCTCTCTAGGTAATGTTGGAAATAGTTTTCCTTTTTGGAACTAAAAAAAAAATAGATATTATTTTTTCAACTGTTGGAGGTCAGGGTTCATAAATTGTATGTTATTTAATTTCTTTCACAGGATCTTTCTTCAAAAACCTGCCTTCCAAAAGGGGTTGCTCGCGGATGTCCAGATTGTGGTAATTGTCTAAAGGTGGTACTCTTTATCAATTTTGTGCTCTTCCGTTAAAACTATTGATTTGTAAACCATAAATCATCACCATGTCAAATTATATCTTCTGTGATGCCGTGACCCATTTATGGAAGCCATGGAGCAGGTAACAGCAAGGTGGCGTCCTGAGGATGCAAGAAAAGATGTCCTTGAAGAGGTTCCTGTTTTCCACCCAACTGAAGAGGTATTTCTTGTCTAATTGTAATAAACGACATTGGTGCATTTCACTGGTTCTGCTTCTTTTTGGTTGTTCCTATTTTCTTTATTCATTTTGGAGTGCTCTGGCTGACTGGCTGGTATAAACCTTGATTTCCTGAAGCAGTTTCAATTATAACTGCAGGAATTCAGAGATACGCTGAAGTATATTGCAAGTATACGTTTAAGAGCAGAGGGATATGGAATTTGCCGTATTGTACCTCCTCCTTCATGGCATCCACCTTGCCTTATTAAGGAAAAGAACATTTGGGAAACTGCTCCATTTGTGACACAAATTCAACGGATAGATGGTCTTCAAGATGAGCATATACAGAGTAAAATGGCTAGAATTTGTGAGCATGTAAGCTGTAAGAGAAATAGCTTTGCAATGGATACGGAGCATGAAGTTGCTAAAGGATGCAGCGTGAATGCTGCTGAAGTTGGATGCTGTAACAATGATGGCTTTACATCTGAATCTGATCCAAAATTTACTCTTGAATCTTTCAATAAATATGCCGATGATTTTAAAAACCAGTATTTTTGCGCTAGTAAGGCTGCGTTTTCAAATTTGGATCCGGATGGGCACTCAAAGCAGTGGGAACCATCACTGGAGGATATCGAGGGTGAGTATAGACGAATTGTTGAGAATCCAACTGAAGAAATTGAGGTATGTTGGAAAAGAGCACATACATACATACATAGATACATACGTACATGTATGTATGTATATGCGTATGACAAGCACATTGAGACACTTTTTCTGTTTCTTTCTGTTTCATTAAAAAGAATTTATAATCATTCTGCTGGTTTTAGGTGCTTTATGGTAGCAACCTGGACACAAGAGTTTTTGGCAGTGGATTTCCCACCAAATCCAATATTTCAAAAATGGACGAATATCTGGATTCTGGCTGGAACTTAAATAATACACCTAGGCTATCAGGTTCTCTTCTGTCTTTTGAAAGCAACAAAACTTGTGGTATTCTGGTGCCTCGACTGAATGTAGGAATGTGCTTTTCATCATTTTGTTGGGTAAGTTTCAGTATTTCTTTTAATTCCCTGGATCAAATTTATTCACAACTCCCCAACCCCACCCCCTCCGGAAAAAAAAAAAAAAAAAAAAACCACAAGCACAGACAAAAAGATCAAAATTGATGTATGCTTATTTATTCTGCTTGTTTTTGGAAAACAGAAAGTTGAAGAGCATCACTTGTACTCACTCTGTTACATGCACTTGGGTGCCCCAAAAATATGGTATGGCGTCCCAGGTCAATATGCTGTTAAATTTAAAGCTGCTATGAAGAAGTACCTTCCAGATTTGTTAGCGGAACATCCTACATTGCATGATAGGGTGGTGAGTGGTGATAAACTTCCAGTTAGATTACATCATGGAAGTGAAATCTCATTTTTACATGCTCGTTGCTTGCAATGACTATGGAGCAATGTTCATATCATGCAATAGGAATACAACTATATATATTTCAAGTCAATTGGTAAAAAGCATCATGTACTACAAGTCGATGTTTCTTTAGGTTAATTGTAATTGTACTATATTTTAACTAATTATTTCCTGACTTGTGTCATTTACAGTGTTGTTGGTCCATATGAAAGTTGATTAATAATGCTGTCTGTTTTAAGTTTTTAGGTTCTTCTTAATATCTTCTGATACGTGTACAGATCTTGTAAATTTCTTAGATGCTTTTGTTTTTAACTACAACAGATCGCAAAACTATCCACGTCTGCATTGAAGTCTGAAGGTATACCTGTTTATCGTTGCATTCAGCATCCTCGAGAGTTTGTTCTTGTCCTTCCAGGAGCATATTATTCAGGATTTGATAGTGGCTTTAATTTCTCTGAGGTTGTAAATGTTGCTCCACTCGACTGGTTGCCACACGGGCAGCATGTTGTAGAAGTCTACTCTGAACAGGGGAGGAAGACATCAGTTTCCCATGACAAGTTGTTGTTGAGCGCAGCTAAGGAAGCTGTGAGGGCACAATGGGAAATTTCACTCTTGAGGAAGAACAACTTAGATAATTTAAAATGGAAAAATGCCTCTGGAAAGGATGGGATTTTAGCAAAAGCACTAAAGGCAGGCCTTTCAATTCTTGTCTCAGTTTTTAGTGAACTTCAGTTTCTGTTTGATTTTAATATGAATATCCTCCAAGAATATTTGTGTCATTATACATTTCTTTGCACAATACCTTGCTATTTTCTTTTCTATGTCATTCTTTTCCTCCTACTTTGCATTTTGCATTTACCTGTGAAACCCATCCTAACCTATGCTGTAGCATTGGCCTGATCTATTTTATTTTCTTATGGTTTTCCTTCATTCCCCCATTTCACTTTGGTTCCCCTTGCAGACACGCCTGAAGATGGAAGACAATAGAAGGAAATATCTTTGTGCCCCTTCACAGTCACAGAAAATGGACAAAAACTTTGATGCTGTCAGCAAAAGGGAATGCAGCATATGCTTCTATGATTTACACCTTTCTGCAGCACGTTGTTCACGCTCTGTGGACCGATACTCTTGTCTAAATCATGCAAAACAGCTATGTTCCTGTGCTTGGAGTGAAAAGATCTTTCTATTTCGTTATGAAATCAGCGAGTTGAATATTCTTATTGAAGCCTTGGAAGGAAAACTAAGTGCCGTCTACAGGTGGGCCAGGGAGGAGCTTAAACTGTCATTGCACTCCTATGTCTCCAAAGATGGTTCACAACCATCCAACCATGTCAGCAGCCCAAAATTGCAATCAGAAGAATCAAAAGAGAAAAAACACCAACCACCTCTTGTTGCAACACCCTATGGTTTTGAGAGGAGTACTGTTTCTAGCATAAAGGAAGAAGTGAAGGCACGAATGCTCCAACAAAGATCCTTGAATGAGCAAAATGCAAAGGAGAACTCAAAAGCGTCTACATTTGTTAAAAGAGAACAAAAGCCAACGGAGAGCTCAAAAAAAGTGTCTGCATTTGTTGCAAGTGCTGCTATGGATCATGCTCCTTTAATATCGACATGTGAAGTTTCATCTGAAAGTACAAGCTCGTCAAGTTCCTCAGATTTGGGGGATCTGGGATGTTAGCATGTAGTTTGGCGGAATTTTTTGTTCTTTCTGCTTCCTTCTCGTGTTCCTGCTGCTTGTCACCTTTTAAAAGCCACGTCTTCTCAACATATACAAGTTAATTCTAGTCAACATAACTCAGCAACCTGCATGCAATTCAAGTTTCCAAGCTTCCTTGAGCCATTTGCTTCTGAGGAACCATACTAATACCTTTTTTGGGTATAGACCATGGTAATCTAACAAAAAAATATTAGCACCTTATGTTTAGAATGTGGGAGTGCTTAGTGTTGAGGCCTCGCTTTTGTCTTTTCTTTACTTCACTGCTGTAATTATTGCATGCGTATTTATGTTGGACTGTTGGTAACTTACACTTCTCTTAAATGGGGCCAAGGTGGAAGCAATATTTCCATATAGATCTTAAATCATTGTTTCTTGTATGACCTAGTATTTCAAAAGCATTTTGCCAATTTGGTTCGCACATTTGAAGCTTGGTTTATGTCTTACTATGTAAATGATTAGCCGATTCATCAAAAAAGAGTCCTTCAATAGAACTAATGTTTCCTTTGGCTCTCAAATTGCACATGGTATCTACAAGTCATCCGCCGTTCTTCTTCAATATTATATTGTGCTTGTTTTTTTGTGGTTCCACATTGTTTTGCCTATTCTACTTGTTTTTCCTTTTTCCTTTTTTCATTTATGGTGTTCTTTCGCTCTTCAGCACCGGTTTGTCTCTTCTCTCTTGTCCAAGTTTTTCAGTTATTTCTTTCAATTTGGGAGGAATGACAGTTAAGAGGAATGACAGTTAGTGTTTGGATTAGACTTCTGACGATCTTAATATTGGTAAAGATGTGCTATTTTATTTATGGGGGGACCATCAAAACCATTTTTCTCCTCAAGAGCTGGCTTCTTTTTGGGTGGATGGTGCAACTTCACAAGAAAAGTATCTTGAATAACGCTGTGAATTGACAATGATGGTCTGATTAAGCATATTGATGTTGTCCCCAGTTTGCGAAGGTATCAAAAGCGACTTAAAGCCAGCAGTGGCATGACAGTAAGTTCCTTGTGGTTCTGTGGATAACTGCGTTAGATGCTTTGCTCAGGCATAATAACCTAGTGAGAAAATAGTTTGATTGGATTCTAGTAGATTAACTAGCTTGTTACCGCTGAATGCGGTAGCTCAGTGGTTCGGGTGCTCATTCATTTGACCTGAAAGCTTGGGTTCCAGTCATCCTCAAAGTGTTCGGTGGTACTAAACTTTGGAGCATGCAAGTATATTCTGCTGTTTCTCTAATCCATGAAGTATGCAAATTCAGTAAGTTAACGTTAAGCAGCCCACTGTCTTGAATAGGGCCGAATGTTCCTTGGCAGGTCTATAGGATGGCTGTCCTGTTTACCCAGAAAAGCTAGCTAGCTCCTTCGTCTTCTTGAAAGCACCGGTACAAATTAGGAAAGCCAGGCTTCCTTGTTTCTATGTACCCCTCAGTACGTGTTTTCTTTTCGCAAGAAATTTTTGTGTATCGTGTTAGACTCGGAGAAATTCAGTATAACAACCAGGATTAGTTGCAATAATTCTGTTACCATCACACTGCCCAAGACATGGGGAACATCCAATATCACTACAGATTGTTATCGTGTCCAATTATTTTTCGAAACAATGATGAGATAAGAATACAAGAGAACCATGTCTCAAGGGAGGATTCTAGTTTTTTATTACTAAAATAATCACAGAATGGCAAAAGAGAGAGAACCTACAACATTAAAATCCCAAATTCTGTCAAAGCCCGGCTGAAACTAATCCATGCAGGGTAATAATGCCAATCAAGATATTATCATCCTTGATAACAGGCAAGAATTGTACAGGGGATGGTGGTGATTCCATTTTCTTCATGGCTTCCACTGCCATTGCATCTGGACCAATTGTTCTTGGGTTCCTGAGACCACACACAAAATGTGCTGAGAAACAAGCAATTTAACCAAAATCTCAAGCCAACCTCAATCCATAACTTGCAACATTAGGCAAAACTAGTGAAAACAAGAACTTCCAATTATAGAAGCAACTGGCATTACGCATACACACTACAAATCAAAGCAACACCAAACTTAACCATTCACTTAAGAATACATAGGAAAACGCCAAATGCAACATTTTCTTTCATCTTACCTGTTGCAGATTTCTCCCACTGTAAGATTAAAGATGGCTTCCCCACTAGCCTTGAGAGTACGCCGGAGATCACCATCTGTAAACGTTCCGATCAGGTGACTATCCTCATCTATAACAAGCAGGCAGCCGCATCCTTTACTCGTTAATTCGACTAGCTGATCCATTATCAAATCTCCTTCCTTACAAATTGGAAGCTCGTTTTGCTTCTTCATCACATCCTTCACCTGCACACATAAATTACTCCTCAACTTAATGCACATTTATTTTAATGGTATATGCAACTAATTAAAAATAAAGCATCATATTTTTTACGGATTTTTTTTCCTTAATTCTGACGAATCCAGGGTTCAGAACACCAAATCTCAGTGATGAACTAAAATAACAAATTCAATCATGTTCGTCCTAATTCTAATTTAATTAAATACCCAAATCAAACAGCAAAAATAGAAAAACAAATCCATAAAAGCAATCAAACATTTATTAATATTAAAAAAAAAACAAAAAAAAACCTTGAAAATCAAGCTCTTCCCAATCCTTCCAGCCGGATGATTAGCGGCATACTCTTCCTTGCTCAAATTCCTGGCACCCATCAACGCAATCGCGACGGTATCCCCAAAAACCATCTGGATCGCAGTGGAAGTCACAGGAGCCAAATCAAACGGACACAATTCCCTCTCCAAAGGCAAATGCACATTCATATCACAAACCGCCGTGAGCGCATTGCCCTCAACGGAAGTGACCGACACCAAATAGGCACCTTTCGCCTTGGCACACGGAACCAGACGGAGCAACTCCTCGGTGTTTCCAGATTTGCTGAAGAGGACGAGGATATCGGAGGCGGAGAGGGAGCCGATGTCGCCATGGAGAGCGTCGAGAGGGGAGAGAAATCCCGCGCGAATGCCGAGGGAGATTAGGGTTTGGGAGATTTTATTGGCGACGAAACCGGATTTTCCGACGCCAGAAAAAAGATGGTGCCGTTACAGTCAAGGAGTGTTTGCGTGAAGGTTAAGGCCTGGGAGAGATTTAGGTTTTGGAAGAAGTAGTTTAGGTGGTTTTGCTGGGATTTGAAGAGGTTGAGAAGGGTGGTCTGGTCAACTTGTTGGAATTTGGCATTTGGTGAAGGGAGGTCTAGGTGAGGCGGAAGTGAGCCCATTGTTTGGTTCTGGTTCGATCGAGAGAGAGAGGGATCTGGTTTTTGTGCTGCTGCTTTCGGAAATTGCAGACTGATATATATGGTTATTGCCGTTATTATTTTACGCGGTAAAATGATTTGGACGTCAGTTTGTCGGTGGAGTGATCACCGGGACCATTTTGATTCATTTCTGGCTAACGGTGAGCTGTGTTTGGGTGGGCATTTTTCTAGTAAGGGGAATGTTTGTGAGGTTATTGTGTGCGGATTTTTTGATGGTTTCGATTGATTGCTCTTTTTTTTAATTAAAATTAATTATTATTAGTCTGTCGATGGAGTGATTATGGGATCGCCCCATTTGTCCAAAAAAAAATTAATTTCAATACAGAAATAATAAATAAAACTAGGAAAAAATGTAACAGATAACTTCATCAAGTTAACTTTTTTACACGTGTTATTGTTATGTGACGTGGCGGTCCACGAAACCGAAAAATTGACCGAATTCTACTAAAAGTACTACGGTACAAAAATATTAGAAAATAAATAAATAAAATTAGAAGAACTAATTAATAAAATATCAAAAAGACAAAATATACAATTAATGCGTGATGTCACTACCATAAAAGAATTCACATGGCTCTGTTTTTGTTATTTTGTCCTTTGAGCTGATGGACGTGGAAAGATTAACAATATGTGTACCTTTCACCTCTACATAATAATATAAGTCATATTTTATAATTTAAGTTTTTTAATGTAATAATTATTTGACATGTTATTAGAATTGTAATGATTAAAAATCCTTTCATTTTTTAATTTCTTTAATTAATTAAACATAAAATAGAATAAATTTATACAAGTTTTAAATCTAAAGTATTTTCACTTGAATAGCATAGCTAGAGAGGAATCTAAATCTGTCAAAAAGTAGCTAAGACAAGCCTCTCCTTCTTTCCACTCTTTCTCTCTCTCTATCAGTCGGAGAGTTTTTTTTTTTTTTTTTTCAATAATTTCATACTTTTCTTTCAAAAATTTCATTTAGAATTTACTAGAATGAATCAAAGGTTTTTTTTTTTTAATTATTATTGCTTCTTTTTTACTCCTAATTTCTGAACAAGAGTAATGGTCTCCTGTTGATGAGCGATGGCCAGCAATTAATATTATTGAGCACTGGTGTTTGGCGTTTTATTTTGGAGCCTTGCTTCAAAGCATAACATGTGATCCTCATGCTCATGCAAGTACACTACTAAGTGGTCCGTTTATACTGGCTGCATAACATGGGGGAAAGAACCCAGCCCCACCACAAATAACATTATAAGAGGCATGGCCTTCTGTCCCACTTCTTGTCCATGTCTTTTACTGTAATTGCCAAAAACTCTCGCACCCCAATGAAGGTTGAGGATCCTTTTCAAGATCCACCCACAAAAGAGTAGATGAATGGACACAAAATATTACCATCTTTGGAATACATTTAGTCATGTTTAGAAAAGAAAGTGATGAACACATCCCTTTCCTATCATTAAATCTGCATCCAAGGCCATGCAACAAGGTAACAAAGCATGATCGCAAATGGGGTGTGTGGAATTTGGTAGGAAACTAAGGAAAAATAAAACAAAATTGAAATGGCCTTTCGGTGTGGTGTAAAAATGGACCCAACACATGACTTTTGAATGAATTTTTATTATTGGGTGTATAATAAAAAATATTATATGTCATGGGTGTGAAAAATATAAAAAATAAATCATTATTTTTTTAGTTTTATGTACAGTTTGAAAATGATGAAATATATATATATCTGATTATAATGTTTTTATTATTTAAAATTTATTTTTTCAATGATTTGTTTCTTATTAAAATTCTCATCAAATTAATTTTTTGATATAATTTTATTTGTTATTAAATTTAGTTTTTTAATATATGAATTTTGAAATAAAATTTTAGAACGTCAATGTTTTATTTTTATTTTATTTTTATTTTGCTTTTGTGTACATTAAAATGATTTTTAAGTTTTAAATGTGCTTATTGACTTTATTTTGGTCATTTAGAGGTGTTTGGAGAAAAAAATGATGCCAAAATTGAATTTCTAAAGGTCTAAAACTTGACTCTCCATTCTCATCAAATTAATTTTTTGATATAATTTTATTTTTTACTAAATTTAGTTTTTTAATATATGAATTTTGAAATAAAATTTTAGAACGTCGATGTTTTATTATTTTTTTGCTTTTGTGTACATTAAAATGATTTTTTATTTTTTAAGAATGTATTATTATATTTTATATAATGATTTTTTTTTTTTTTGCTTTTTAAATGACTTTTTGATTTTTTAAAATATATTATTATATATATATATATATATATATATATATATGTTCGGAATTTATCGAAACCAGTTTTATTTTAGTTTTTATTTTAATCTGTTGACTTCAATATATTTCATACATTTTTGGTATTTTTTTTTTTGTATATTTTTCTATTTATTATATATACTCCAAATCGTTAAGCATGATATGTGTGTATGTGTGTGTGTGTCTTTAATTTTATTAGAAATTAGTTATATATCTACATACATAATACCAATTATTTGTTATTTATTTTTTCATATTTTAAAATTTGTTTTTAAATAAAATAAGTTAGATAATGTTTTGAAAGAGCCTCCCGAGTTATTTAAATACAAATTTTGATGCTAATATTATTAAATATTTTGTTAATAAATATATATAAATTAAACGATTTCGTTCAATATATAGATTCGATTTACATTAATCACCGAAATAAAACTTCTACTCATACTATATCATACGAATCATTAATTCTATGTATGCAATGGTTATTTTACCGCAGCGTAGCGCAATTATCTAACTAGTAAAAAAACTAAAAAAAGTGAGATTGCTCCAATCCATTCACTGTAGCTACACATTCAAAATCCCTATTCATGTATGTTTTTTGTTTTTTGCATATTAGTCCGTCATTCTTTGAGAGATAAATTAATTAGTCCATTTGGTTTGAAAACTAATTTTTTTGTCCTTTTCACCATTTTACTATTTTTATTTTTTCTTTTTAAAAAATAATAAAAATAATAATAATTCTTTACGGAATAAATTAATTAGTCCCTTTGGTTTGAAAACTATATTTTTTTTCCTTTTCGCCATTTCCGTTTACTATGGCAGTTCTCTCTCTCTCTTTTTTTTTTTAACGACGTCCATTCTTCCATATCCAATAATATATATATTAACTTCTTCACTAATGCGTCGTTCTTCATTTTCCAATGAATAGACTCGCAACCTTCATTTCCTTAGAGATAATATGATTTGTTGACTAATTTATCCTCTTTTCTAACTATTAAAGTATTTCTAGAACTATTATTATAGTTAATAATTATAATATATTATCATTATATTTAAAAAAAATAGTAGTGTTTTTTTTTTAAAAAAAAATGTCTAGCCTTCTTTTTTTTTTCAATTTCTATATTTGTAGGACTATTATTATATGGTCAAATATATTATTTAGGACCTTATTTATTAGAAATATAATTTTTTTAAATAACAAAATTATTTATAGTTAATAATTATAATACATTATCATCATATTTTACAAAAAATATCAAATAAATATTATAAAATAGTTATTTGTATTTTGATTGTGAATATTGTATTTATACGAGTGCTTTTTTTTTCGGTTTCTATATTTATAGGATTCGTTATTATATGGTCAAATATATTATTTAGATCCTTATTTATTAGAAATATAATTTTTTAAAATAAAAAAATTATTTATAGTTAATAATTATAATACATTGTCATTATATTTTACAAAAATACCAAATAAATATTATAAAATAGTTATTTGTATTTTGATTGTGAATATTGTATTTAAATAATGCTTTTTTGTTTTTGTTTTTTTTTCAATTTCTATATTTATAGGACTATTATTATATGGTCAAATATATTATTTAGGTCCTTGTTTATTAGAAATATATTTTTTAAAATAATTAAATTATTTATAGTTAATAATTATAATATATTATCATTATATTTTACAAAAAATATCAAATAATTATTATAAAATAGTTATTTGTGTTTTGATTATGAATATTGTATTTATTATACAATATAATATTTTGTTATTATTTTATATTATGGTATAAATAATATATTGATATATTATTTTACGAATTTGAATATGTATAAAAATTGATAAGTATTTTAGTAATATAATATAATTGATTATTATACCATATAATTAAATTAATGTTACATTTTATTAGTTAAATATTATTTTAAATATATCGGTATAATAATATAATATTTATTAATAAATGATTTATTTAAATATCAGATGATAGTTGTTCCCTTCTATATAAATAAATTTTTATTATTATTTTTTATCATGGAATTAGGAGTGAAAATATAAAAAAAAGATGTTTTTTTTTTTTTTTACCTATAGTTTGACGAGTAATAGAATATATATGATAATTTTAAAACTTTTAGTTTGAACATATATATATGATTGTACTATTTTTATTATTTAAAATTTATTTCTTCAATTGTTTGTTTTTTATTAAAATTCTTATCGAATTAATTTTTAAATTTTATATGATTTTATTTGTTAATAAATTTGATTTTTTATACATGGCTTTTGAAATTAAATTTTAGAACTTGATTATTTTATTTTTTAAAAATATATTATTATAATTTATATGATTGATTATTTTTATGATTTTTCAATAAAAATGACATTATTGCGTATATAAATTATAATGAGAAAAAGAGAGCTAGAAGTATGTTTCGGATATTATAATTATTCTATAAAAAAACTAGGTTTTTCTCTCGTTCATTTATTGTAGATTTTTATTTATTTATTTTTAGTGCTGGCTTGGAGAAGCGAATTGTAGCAGCTTAGCTCGGCTCATTTTATCGTAGTTTTTTTTTTAGGGCTGGCCTAGAGAAGCATTTCCTTTTTTTTTTTATAGGACTAGCCTTGAGAAGCGGGCTCGAGCGGACGTGCACAAGTAGTTCCAACCGAGTTTGCCT